ACTAAGCCACTGCTGTCTCAACAGGTTTTGAACCTGCTTTGGAAGGATGTGAATAAAGTGTTTGTCACACAGCCATGTTGTTGTATTTAAATAAAAATATTTTCTTAAGTACTGTACTGCTTTATGAGCGAGAATCCATGCTTATTTATATTAATAATATTATTGTTACACTTTAAAATTATCTTTCAATTTCTATGTAATACCCAGAAGTTATTATTTCAGAACCATACTGTTAGTTCTGAATTCTATTGCCTTCTCTCCTGAAACATTTTTTGCTCAAAAGTAAACATTAAAACTATGATAGTTGCCAGTTTAATATTGATCTGCATTATTTAATTGGGTAGTAGGAATCTAACATGGGATAAAGCCAATTTTGAATGTAAATGTTGATGTGCCATACAACATAGCTAAATTGTAAAATTCTTTTTCATTTGCATTCTGTTTGTCCTCGGTTTTGATGCTCCATGCTACCCTTTGCTTCTTTTGCCAACTCCCTTATTCTTGCAAAAGCACCTAAATTATCATTATTTTTAAACTTATTTTATCAAATGTTATTGCTGCCTGTCTGATGGATGTGACACTGAATGGTATACAATAATCAATTAAAAGAAATATAAACTGTATAAAACAGTATAACAGTATAAAAACAATTTAAATGTTCATATATTGAATTTTTATGTTTATTAAAGAAAAATGTGTCAATTAAAGATATGTATATATATATACATGTAGGTCTTTGGTTATTCGGGTTTTCTCCCGCGTCAAATTGGAAGTGTCTTGGCGACGTTTCGATGAAGTCTCATTCGTCATCTTCAGGATGGTGTTTTCGCCTGAAGATGACGAATGAGACTTCGTCGAAACGTCGCCAAGACACTTCCAATTTGACGCGGGAGCCGAATAACCAAAGACCTACATATAAACACCCGCGAAAACCTCAGAACATATATATATATATATATATATATAGATAGATATAGATAGATAGATAGATAGATAGATACAATTTAAACATTACAAAAATTAAACACATATTTAAATGTATATTTTTCATGTGTCCCCCCCCCTTTATTTTTAGTTATTTCTACAAATTTTAATCATCTACATAAATGTTTGCTTTTTCACCTCTGCCCATTTTCTATGAAATTACTTACCTACTCTTATCACAGGAATCCATTTTCCAGTTCTTTGAAATGTCCATTTCCTATTGCACATTTTCCTTCCTTCCCCTTCTAGCTCTGTCCTATATGCTGAATTTTTTTATTGGCCATTCCTTTTCTTCCCTTTTCTTCCTTAACTTGTGCCTGCTTAAGATGGTAAATTTGCAGGATATTCCATAAATACCTTGGCTAGTGTGGCAATATTATAAATATTAAACCCAACAGTATTCTTCACAGAAAAAAGCAAGATCATTACTTTAAGAATCTGTATCAAAGTGAAAAGTACAAATTCAGTGGTGTAAAGAAGCTATAATTAAAGGAACTATAATCACTCCACTTCAAGTACTGATTTTATCCTAATAGTTTACTCTCCCCCCACCATTGTTGCAATTGGCTCCATTTGTTTACTGATTATAATCAGCTTATCCAGATGTAAGCAAATTTATCTTTTCCTATATTTGTAGTAATATGTGGAAGAGATTTTATAAAGCAGAAAAGCGGAGTTCTGTATTCCAGAACTACCTTAACCCCTCACTGAAATTTCATTAAGTGGAGGAAGAAAAAAAGAGAGCAGCTGAAGTACAGAGTAAAGGGGCAGGACTATTCTAGTTTCTTTAAATCTAGGGTTAAATTTGATCTATACATTTTTCCTTCAGAATGTAACAACAGCTATCTTTTTATCAAGTAATGAACAATACTTGTTCATCTGGTTGGACCTGCAATTACTCACACATCCTGTTATGCCATCTGAGGGCATTTGAGTCCTGTTCCAGGTGAGATCAATTAACCCTGTTGCACTTACCGGTAGTTGCCTTAATTTCCCTTCCATACTATTAATGCTATGATGGTGCTTTGTAATTCATCTTCCGTCTGCAGACTTACTGTTCATTATCTCTCTTTTAGTATGTGGAGAAAATGAAACCAATAAAAATCTTATGTATACCATAAGGCTGAGACGATGCAGTGAGTCAGGTAGAACATTCCTAATTTCCAGGTTTTGCCCTACCCAAGAAAAAATGTGACTTCCTCTAATATTTTTCTTCCTTAAAAGTCAAAGACACGATGAGCAGATTCCTTGAATCCCTTTCTTTTTGTGAGTTCTCTTTCCCTTATGTTCAATCCTGAGTTTATCCATTCAGTTCTGAAAACGAATATGTACAATTTATGCATGCTTCTGTTCCCTCCCCTTTTTTACTTCCCATTTAAATACTGATACAAAACATGACTTGATTACACTGTGAAAATAAAACTCTACTAAGAAACTTAATATCAATTACTAAGACTGACTGGCACCTATGGAAAAAAACTTAATTTTGCAATATTTTATCTAGGTTATAACACTCATACATATGTAATAGCCGACTGGAATGAATTTGTAGTAATAAACTACACATGAACAGGACTCTTATATAAGGAATGGAATTAAAAACTGAACATTAGAAAATTTCTAATATGGTATGTTTCACAAACAAGACAATATGGATTCTTAAAATCAGGTATTTTATTTTTTTAATATTAGCAAAATTCCCTCTTCTCCTTACAGAGATGGGTTTACCATTTTTTATACTAAGTTCCAAAAATAAGTGTAGCTAAAATTTAATTTTTCTTGTCTCCTTGAAATAATGTTCACAGATCTTCTTAAAATGTTTGTTAACTTTACACTGACATTGTGACTGAGGTCATACTTAACATTTGCTTCTTTATCTTTAGTCAACTTTTCTTTTCTGCACCTTTCTCAATGGTTAACAGTAGGGAAATTACTGATTTAATTACATAATGTATCAATATTCTATACTATCTATAATTGCATAATTTAAGGTGGGCATTTGCTAACAAATACTGCATTTAAATTATGAATGTTCCTTGAAGTATTGCAGTTTGGAATATATTTGCTCTTGTGATTTTAAATGTTCTATTTTAATATTAAAAAATGTCAATGTACTTTATCAAAGCTAAATTCTGCAGGACAGATGATCTCTTTTATATTCCATATTGGGATTATTTCTTGTGAGTAATATCATTTTGTTCCATATTTTCTTTTTGCAATTTTGACCTAACAATTCTATATAGGGCAAATGCCATTGTTGTCATCAGAGATTAATTGGAGTAAGCATCATAGGAGTTAAAACAAGGTTAGGTGCATGACAATGTTCCTGAGGCTTCATAGGATATTGCTTCCTGTTGTGATCAATCCCAGTCATTCCGTAAGAGTATGTTGGCTTTCCTAAGAGAACTGAAGGCCTCCACAGAAAGAATGATAATGAGTGGTTTGGCAGGGGGAGGGGAGGGGAAAAATAAAGTTCTGTACAATATTACATGAATGAAATGTTACCAAATTGTTCCACAGCAATTATTATTAACATATTAGAGCCTCTTTAATTTCTTAAACTGAATTTCTGAAAATTATCTGGTAGAATATATGCAGAGCTCCACTAATTCTGAGCAATAGATTCTGTGCCTCACTCCTTAGAAGTGTCTGCAAACTGCATTATGGCCTTGTTCACATTATGACATAATTTGTTTGCTTTTGGCTATAGTCTGTTAAGCAAACCATGACTTAACTGAATGCTTGAAACCAACATTTCAGTTTGTGTCACTGCCCTTACCCAAGTTTGAGAAACTCTAAACTAGGAGATAATCAAACTAAATGCTATCTACAATTCCATAGATGGCTATATGCAATATTCATCTATTGTTTCCCTTTCTGGAGACCAAACATTCCACCACGGTGAAAATGTTTTTCATTCATCCAATTTATAAAGTTCTATTAAAATCAGAGGGGGGAAAAGAGGTCCCAGAACTCAATTAAGGTACAGTAAAATGAATAAAAAGGTTGGTGAATTTGCATGCTAGTTCAGCCTAGTTTTCAGTATTAGAAGGCATTCATTAATTATATTTATGTATCTTACATGCTGCTGATATACCCTCACGTGTACTCCCTGAGCCTCATTATACTTCAGGGGTGGGTTCTACTTACCTTTACTACCGGTTCGCAATGAGAGCATGCGTGCACATGCGCAGAAGCTTCTGCGCATGCACAGATCATCCATTATGATGTCCAGATGGGTGGGCGGAGCCTCCTGCCGTTTTTACTACCGGTTCGCAAGAACTGGACAGAACTGGGAGCAACCCACCACTATTGTACTTGTGCTGCACCTCCCTGGCCACTTGCACATTCTCCCTGGTACTTATCCATCCTTGCCCACTCTCCCCCACCCAGTAGCAGACACCCCAAGCCATACTTGCACCATGCCTCCTTGGCCACCCACACAACCCTTCATTCCCTCTCCCACACAGCAGCAGCCAGTTACCTGTTTGCAAACCGCCTGGGACATTCAACTTTCTGCCGGTTTCCCCACTATTTTAGTTGTTGGAAGTTGCAAGGAGATGCTCACTTAAAAGACCCAATCCTCACTTAACAATGATAATGGGGACTGCAGCAATTGCCATTGATAAATGATGTGGTCATGTGACATTGTGCTTTCTGACCGCATCTTTTAGCAATTGAAATTCTACTCCCAATTGCTATTGTAACCCAGGGAGTACCTGTATTCCAGTAACTCCAGTAAATGCATTATCAAGAATGGGTTGCATGGAATTAATCATAAACAGAAGCAGCACAGTAGGCTGCCTGAACTAATTCAGACTGTTCCTATGGTAGAGTTTGGAATTTCAATAGGGAGCATAATAGGTCAAACGTAAATGAAAATTTGGGATTATGAATGCATTGGAATGTTGTATGGCAAGTTATTGTGCTAGAAGCATTAGTAGCTTTTGTGTGTAAGCAACAGTTCAAAGACATTCCAGTTGTACTGAGTTGAATGTATGAGAAGTGCCCCTGTATTTACAATATACAAATCTTTTATTATTTTCACGGTCAATTCTTCCCTCAGGAACATTCCTTTATTTAGTACTTACAATAGTGGAAGATTCTAGTTAATGAAAACCAGTTCCTGTATAATCCATTTATTTATGCAGCGTAAAGATATTTCATGCTTCATTTATTTTCAGTACAAACCACAATGACACTAGAATAATAGATCATTTTTCATCCTAGTATAGAGAGACAAAAGCCAGGGATGCAGTAATTGTTTAGTTCAGAGCAAACCCTGCATCCAACAGCTTGATAACACAATCAGCTCATTGGCTTCACTGAAGACCCATTCATTTCTTGGGATGTCACCTTTGCATTGGAACAATTTTCCAGACTATAAACCATCTCTGAAAGCTCGTTAACTTCCAATATGAAAATTATATTGGCTAGTTCACGCTCCCTTTTCCCTTTCCATCCAGGTCTGTTGGAGCTGCTTCAGGAGTATCAGCAGGAGAGAATCAAGCACAGCCAGGCCCTTCCAAGAACACCTAAGTCCCCTACAAAAAGAAAGACATTGCTGAATCCTCCTCCAGATATACCAGTATCCTCTTCCTAAGGCACATGAATCTTCAGCCCCCTTACCTGTCGTCCAGAAAAAGCAATCCATACTCTTCCAGCCCTTTAACTTCCTCTGCTTTACCAAACACATCCCACAGACTGAGACTGGGGGCAAACTGCAACCAGTGCTATAAAGAGAAAAAAACCTACCCTTAAAACTGGGTTTTTTTACAATTTTTCAACTGAAGAACTAATTTTGGGGGCTAATCTAGGAAAACACAAATGACGCTAGGAGATGTTTTTTAAAATGTCACCCTGATGAATTTCTCAGAATCTTCACCTCTTTTGAAAATGAAAGTATAGAGCTCAAATTTAACTAGGATCCATCACCACAATTTGGATTAAACCTTCCTTTTTTGCTATACATGTAGTCCTCGACTTAAGACCAAAATTGAGCCCCAAATTTTGGTTGCTAAGCAAGACAGTTGTTCAGTTTTTCCCACAACCTTGCTTGCCGCATTCCTTAATCACTGCAGTTGTTATGTGAATGTGGCTTCTCCATTGACTTTGCTTGTCAGAAGGCCACAAAAGCTGATCACATGACTCTGGGACACGGCAACCGTCATAAATATATGCCAGTTGCCAAGCATTCAGATTTTGATCACATGACCATGGGGATGCCGCAATGGTCCTGAAGTGTGAAAAATGATCATAAGTCACTTTTCAGTGCTGTTGTAACTTTGAACAGTCACTAAACAAATGGTTGTAAGTTGAAGACTTCCTGTAATTTTTGCAAGATAGGCTTAGCAGAACATCACTTGAAATACTGCAAATGCTTGAAATTATCTTTTTTTTAGTGACAGCTTTAAGTTAATCATCACTTTTGGTCCCATCATTGATCAAAATTGATCACTGAACAATTCCTATTTTAAAAAAAAATAAACTAGCATCAAAAAAATTGAACAGAGATATGTAGGTCTTAAAATCCAATCTCATGTTTACTGGAAATCTCAGGAGGATCTCTTCCAGTCTCTGTGCATTTAGTAATCACAGGTCATGTTTCTAAAACAAGGATTAAAAACTAGTTATGTGCTATTTATTCCTCTGCTATCTCTAGCACTAACTATAAGCAGTCCTTGAGTTATGACAGCAATTGGAACTGGAATTTCCATTGCTAAGCGATGCAATCACAAAGCGCAACATTAATTAACTGAAAAGGCATACAATACAGAGAAAGAATGAGGAATGAACCATTTCTGCAAAATCATTCCATTCAAGCACTCTGGAATTATGGCAATAAATGTTTCAAACATTTCAAACATGAACAGTTATCACATGGAAATATGACAACTATACCTGGTGTGTGATTCCTATATCCATACGGAGTCCCAGTATCAAAACCTCCTCCAGTCTACAAAAGGGACAGATGGAAGATTCCAAACTTAGAAGCAACACAGCCATTAGAATTTTGATAAACAGATATTTGTGCCAACAACAGTGGGGAAAAGGAAACTAGGCAATGATTTTAACATATTAACAAGGGCAGCACCTATATTCATACATCATCTACTTTCAAAAATTATGTGTATGTGTGTGCGCGTATGCTTTGAATAAGCTTTACAACAATTCTATAAGGACATTTTTATTATCTCTAAATTAAAGATTAAGAAGGTGTGGCATGTCTAGTAGCAATCATATTTTTTATTAAACTTTTCAGGCAAGTGTCCCTTCTACAGCATCTCTTCAGTGTTTTAAAAGATTTCACTAACATAATCAGAGTTGTAAAGTAAAAAGGCCATGCAAAAAAGTAGATCAGAGAGAGATAAAATTTAAATAACTCCAAAAAGCAGGTACAGCCTAAGATTTATATATAATTTAGCATTTATGGAAACTGGAATTTAAAATATATAATAGGTTCCAGATTCAAAATAGCAGTAGCAATAGCACTTAAGTTTATATAGCGCTCCATAGTGCTTTGCAGCACACTCTGAGTGGTTTACAATGTCATCATACTGCCCCCAATAATCTGGCTCCTCATTTTACCGACCTTGGAAGGATGGAAGGCTGAATCAACCTTGAGCCAAACAGGATCAAATTCCTGGCTGTGGGCAGAATTAGCCTGCAATACTGCATTTTAACCACTGCACCAATATTATGGATGCAATGTAGGATAAAAAATGGTGGTTCATATGTTTATTAATAAGGCTGAGTTTTCAGGAATATCACATATGCTTAAAGAAAGGAAATGATCTGGAAGAGCCTCTCCGCATTTCTTCTTACATACATATCCAGTTCCCTGAGTGGAGTCTGTTTCCGAGTCCCATGCCCAAAGGCCAATACTTCTTTCATCCATATATCCGGTTCCAAAGTCTGTATTCTTGCCTCTCGATGGGTCTTACCATCTCCCCGTAGTACAAATCGCCCATGGGCTCCTGAGAAAGAAGGAGATTGTTCTGAACAACCTATGGTGCTATTTAGTGTTTATATGAGAAGGAATCATTAGGCAGCTACTTAGCAACACAATTTTTAGCTGAGGAGCGCTTACTTTCCAATCTCCCCTTATTTATTAAAAATAAAACAAGCCATAGTTGAAATGGTACTCCAGTACATTGTACTGGAACCAACTCAAGAAGCAGTTGCAACGTTTGGCCCATCATCTCCCCAAATAGGTTTACCTGGTCCAATGCCAATATATTGGCTCCCTTGCCAATAGGAGAGGTTGTGAGTACTAAATGCCCCCTGCGTAAACAAACAAACAAGCAAAAAATGCTAAGGAACTGCAAGTCTGCACACAACAGTCACATTATATTAGAGAAACAACCTTTAAGGAGTGGCTTTTAAAAAAACCTATTGCACCTCATTGGGCTTAACAGTCATTTAGGAGACTTTTCTTGCTTGGGAGAAAAAGGGGGAAGGCCAGAGAGGAGGAAGGGAAGTCTTCTCAGAAGCCTCCACTGTAATTCAATGTGCAAAGCAGAATAGAATACAGAATTTTTATTTAAGCATGCTCTTTTTTTTTTTTGTTTCTAGTAGCAGCTTTTTCACCATTCTCTCCTGAGAGAAGCAGAGTAAGACTTGGATCTTACTCAGTTGGACAGGTAATACTAAATTCTTAAATCATATTCCTTTCAATTCAGCAGAAGGAACACATTTGTATTATCTTTCTAATACAGCGGGACAGTGGGGGGAAAAATCTTATTTCATTACCAGAACCTTCTGAATTTCTTCGGCCTACTTCCTTTTACTGAGTTGTATGGCACAAGGTTTAACTAAAGGAAAAGACTTACATTCTTTGAAAAATTGGAGACTTCATACTGGTGAAAACCTGAATTTTGTAGAACATGTCGTGCACACTCATACATCTCTGATACTATGTCCACGTTGGTTGTGGGCAGAAAGCCCTGATGGACCTGCTTGAAGAGAGATGTGCCTCTTTCCAGAGTCAACTGGTAAAGGGATATATGGTCATCACATACTGCAAGCGCTTTCTCCAAACCCTGGATCCAGGAAGCAACAGTCTGCCCTGGGAGTCCAAATATTAAGTCAATAGATGTACGCCCTGGAAAGAGTTTCTTGGCTTCTTCTAAAGTCCTCAAAGCATCACAAGCTGTGTGGGTCCTTCCAAGAAGCTCGAGTTCTGCATTGTCAAATGACTGCACAGAAGGAAATAAAAATAATGAATATGCTTGACTCTTTACAACTGAAGAAAAAGGAAACAAGTATGTTGTGGGAGAATTATGATTATGGTAAGTGAGGAAAAAAAGAAATAAAATCTTGTAAAAAGCATACATACTTGCACTGCCGCTATGTGGTTCTCTTTTGTTGTTATGCAAAGCACAAAAGGGACTAGAAATAGGAAGCCAAAGAAATTGAAGGTATAAAAAAAGAAAAATAATCTGATTTACATCAGCCCCATGCATGTTCAAAAAGTAAAGCATCTGTTCTGAGGCTGTTGTGACTGTGAACAGAATGGTCATTAAACAACTGGTTGTAAATCGAGGACTGTCATCTAGAAATTACTTTGCAAGCTCAAAGACTACTGTCAATGTCCCACTACTAATTCAGTGGTACACACTGTACTGTCACATGCTCAAAATGCAAATATCTGCATATAATGTACAGATATATGATACATATAATGTATAAATCTTTGCCTGTAAGTAGCAAAAAAAAGAGAGGGGGGGTTAAGGATTACACAGGATAAGTTAACCAAATTACCATATTTTCCGGCGTATAAGACGACTGGGCGTATAAGACGACCCCCGACTTTTTCTGTTAAAATATGGGGTTTGGGCTATACTCGCCGTATAAGACTACCCCTCTTCCAATGCACACCAAATAAAAATTAAAAAACATCAACTGGTTCACCCACAATGTAAAAGCAGCTGTGCTAGACCCAAAATGGCCCCTGCAACAAGCAGGAACCTCACACAGCCACAAAAAGCCCAAAAACCCAACTTTCACACTTTACACACACAAAATTACACATACAGCTTTGTGAGATTTTGTGTGTTTGTGTAATTAGAGTGAAACACTACAGAAACACACTAAATCTCAGAAAGCTGCACAAATATTATTTTATTTTATTTTATTTTATTTTATTTTATTTTATTTATTTTATTATTTATTTTATTTTATTTTATTTTATTTTAATGTTTATATAAAAGCACCTAAATTTAAAACTTCCTAAACTTTAAATGGCTAGGTCTAAAAAAGAACAACTAAAAAAAACCCAATTAACTATTTTTTTTAAAGCTCCCAAAGGGGAAAAAAACGTACCCAATAGAACAGGGGTATCCAACCTTGGCAATGTTAAGACTTGTAGACTTCAACTCCCAGAATTCCTCAGCCAGCTTTGTCTTGCTGGCTGAGGAATTCTGGGAGTTGAAGTCCACAACTCCCTGCCTGCCTAATTGCAGGCAGGGAGTGGCTTGCTGATGGAATGGATTCAGGCAAGCGAAGCAAGGCAAGCGTTGCAACTAGCAGCTAAGATAAGCAAACTGGAGGGGGAAAACTTTTTTCCTTTTACATGGCTCTGGCGATCCCAGCTGAGTTGCCTGATTAGCAGGCAACTCAGCTGGGATCGTCAGAGCTTGGATCGCCAGAGCCATTTAAGGCTCGTCAGAGCCTTTCGGGCTGGTCTGCCTGGTTACAGGAGAACGACACCCGGCGTATAAGACGACCCCCGACTTTTGAGAAGATTTTCATGTGTTAAAAAGTCGTCTTATACGCCGGAAAATACGGTACACTTTACATGGAAAAGAGAAACCCATTAATATGCTGACCAGAATAGCAATAGAAAAATATACCTAAAACTTTCTTCCATGCTGCTATTCCAGCAAAAACACTCAATCCAGCTGCTGTTTGTTATGCTCCATGTCAAATTTACAAAACATGTCTACCTACTTTAATTATAAAAACTCATTAAAACTAGGAAGCAATTTCTCATAAGTCAGGTTGGCCATGATCTTGGGTTTTTATTCCCCTACAGCATATGAATTGGCTTTTTGAGTTTATAACTCTGAACTAGTTGTCAGTTCTTACTTTCTGCTTATCACATTGTAGTCTAAAAACATATATGGGATGGGGAGAGGGAGGAAGGAAAGAAGAAATTGATCAATGGAACAGAAAAAACTGGTACTGTATATTTCGGTCCCTTTCTGCAAATTTGCTTAACAAATTTTAAGCAAATTTGATTATTTGCTTAAAATTTTACTTACTTATTTTAAGTAAGTTTTTAACTTTATTATTATTTATTATTCTAGTATTGTAAGTGGATGATACAGTCCTGAAAGCAATGCTCCTGACCTCTCACCTGAATACCAATGGAGAGCCGGTTCACACCAGCTTTCTGGAACTCAGAAAGGCGGAGGGCGTCTGCTGAAGCGGGGTTTGCTTCCAAAGTAACTTCAGCACCTTCTGCTAAATGTGCGCAGTGGGAGACAGTGTCCAGGATAGCATTAATGGTGAGTGGGCTGGCTAAGCTTGGTGTTCCCCCACCAAAGTATACTGAAGTGATTCTAGAGCCAAAAAAGAAGAGAGGATTATTTGAACTGATGGTCCTCTCCCTATTTTCTCAGCTTCTCATGAGAGGAAGTGATAGAAATGAGAAGTCCCATTCTGTCCTCTAATATTTTTTGTATATTTTAGGTGTATACAAAAACACTGAACCATTTCAAAGGCAAATGCTCTGCAAGACACCAATCTTAATTTTAAAATGGGATGTTCTGTTCATTTTGGAAGTGTTTGAAACTGAGCCACTGTTTTGAATGCGAATACTCTGTTTCAAGATCAGAAACACAGGGTTTCTTTGGATGCATCTCAATGTGAAACAAATCCAAATAAACACAGGTTAGTATTATTATTAAGGCTATGTCATCAGTTTGACAATAGCAAAGAAATAGTATACAAGGGTCAAATGAATCTCCTAAAGGCATCTGTTTAAAGATGTAAGAAGTCTATTATATCAAGGATCTAGTAAAGCTAAGAAAAATAACTTGGTTGCTACTGAAGACTGTTAAGACATTTTGTGAATAACATTCCTTGCATTTGTTGTGATTTGGATTCTTTGGTTATAGCATATCCTAATAATCTACATGTAATACCGGTATATGTGTGTCCTTGGCACAAATTTATCATAGTTCCAGCCTTTCCTTAAAGTCAGTTTCAGAAAGTGAAGATAGGAGAAATGTGTTCAGCCCAGGGAACACTGGGCTGCATGAATAAATATCACCCTCCATATTAAACATTTATGCAAAATAGTTGGGAGAGAATAAGGATATTTGGGCTTCACTGTCATCAGTAAGTAAATATGATTATTTCTCTTTTTCATCTATCTTTAGGAAACTTGTCAGTATCCTGAATAGGTGTCAGGTGACAATAATCATCTGGATGAAGACAAATAAATTGAAACTCAATCCAAACAAAACAGATGTGCTTCTGAACAGATGGATTTGGGAATAGAATTTCAATTGCCTTCAATGGGGAAGAACTCTCACTGAATATTCAGGATAAATCAATCTGGGCTATTCCTGGATTCAGCTTTGTATCTGGAAGATGACATGTGGTTTTAGATGTATTAACTCTATTTGAATTCCAGATAAGATCAAACATGGCTGACATATACTTTATTTAACATCTACACTGGATTATTGTAATACTCTCAAAACCTGGTTAGTGTAGATTTTAAAAATCATAATGTTAAGAATGGCATAATGAGAATGAGAAATAAATATAAGCACCAGGCTGTGCTAAAAGACACCTTTGTTATTTTCAGCACAGGAACTGTTTTATATTTTATTTATTTATTTATTTATTAATTCAATTTGTATGTCGTCCCTCTCCGAAGACTCAGGGCAGCTCACAATGCATTTAAAATCATTATAAAAAACATTTTAAAATTAAAAACATTAAAAACATTAAAACTCATTCACACCATTCACGGCCGGATCTCGCCGGATCGCAAGAGCAAGATCAACGGCCCCAGGCCTACCGGAAAAGCCAGGTCTTTACCGCTTTTCGGAAGGCCAATAGGGTGGGGATGGTCCGGATCTCAGGAGGTAACTGGTTCCAGAGAGCTGGGGCAGCCACAGAGAAGGCCCTCCCCTGCGGGCCCGGCAGCCGGTATTGTTTAGCTGACGGGATCCGGAGGAGACCAACACTGTGGGATCTTATCGGTTGTTGGGAGTTATGCGGTAGAAGGCGGTCTCAAAGATACCCTGGTCCTGAGCCATGTAGGGCTTTAAAGGTAATAACCAACACCTTGAATTGTGACTGGAGACCAATAGGGAGCCAGTGCAGCTCGCGGAGAATTGGTGTAATGTGGGTGTACCTAGCTGCACCCATGACAGCTCATGGGGCTGCATTCTGGACCAACTGTAGTCTCCGAACACCTTTCAAGGGTAGCCCATTATAGAACAGAAACAGCAAGTAAAGATAAATGGTTAACATATTGTTAATTCAAAATGTGGTGAACCCAACTACTTACAGTGGATTATTAAAATATTTAATAATCAATTGAAACCATATTTTTTGTTGAGTCTTATGGACAGTCAATTAGAAAAGGCTCATGGAAGATTTGTTTTCATATATATGGCAATTGCAGCAAAATTACTATTATTTGCACAAAGATGAAAACAATCGGAAATATCTACCCTGGAGGAATGATTGGCGAAGATAAAGAATTTGTAGAAATTTCAAAATTGAACTGTTTGTTTAGGGAAAAGACAACTACATTTATCAGTAACTGGAAACCCTTTATGTCTTCTTGTTGAAAATGGGAAAAAATGAACAATCTATAGATTTCATGATTAGAAAGCATAAAATATGTGAAGAAGGGAATTATGATATAACCTTAAAAAGGGAAGATAGAAGATAAATTTATTTGTAACTGCCATAAAGAAGACTGGAAACCACTTCCTTATACTTTTTAAAAAATCTATTCACCACTTAGCTTTACTCTTCTGTTTCTTGAATTTGTATAATTTTTACCACTGTATAAAATTATTCAATAAAAATTAATCTTAAAAATACCCAGTTAGCTGATGGAAATAGGGAGCCAACATGAGGTAGATGTATTATGTGTAGGATGTTGATCCATTTTTTGTGGTCTTATTTATGTTAAATTGTTTTTAGAGGTTATTTTTTGAGTTGTTTTTAACTGTTGGTTTTATTGTCACATTTGTAAGATATGTGGTTATACAAATTTGATAAGTAAATAAGTAAGTCTCTTTGTTCCTAAGAATTTAAGAATTTTGGGGAATTGCAGTGTGTTTTGTACAGAAGATAATGACTTGTAAAACAGATGAATGATGTGGATTGGGGGGTGGGGGAATTGTCATTTAATTAAAAATTTAAAAGATAGATTTGGAGACTTCCAAATCCTTTTTACTCCATGTTGTATCATTTACCTCTGAACTTCGCTTAGCTGGATCAAAGTCTGGGCCTCTTGAATGAGACAGTTCTTCATTCTTAGCTCATCCAGATTTCGGGGAATATATTTGTTGAAGTTGCAGTAACTGCAGCGTTTCTCACAGTAAGGCCACTAAGAAACCAAAATGACAAGCAGAATTTTATTCAAACATTTTTAGGGGAGCCTTCTTATATCCTTAGCCAACAGTATTAGGCTGTCATTAGTTATCGCTGTCATTAGATCCACACACAAAAGAAATTATTTAAAACTACCCTGATATGAGGATTTAAATAGCTTTATGCCACAAGACATCCTGATGCCAAGCAGTTTAAAACATTGTGATAACAATTCAAAATGCTAACTGTATTATATAAAACCTCAGCTTCACAATAGATTAGTTTCAGTTGATAAAATGCCACCCAAGCATAAAGATAGTCTGTCTTTAGCTAGGGACAATTTCCAGAGGCTTCCCATCCGAATAGTAATACTCAGTACCATGCTGCATCCTCATACCTACTGTTTCAATTTTTTTAATGTTTCACCCTTGTTTGTTAACATCTTCAAGTAGTATATACAGTAAATAAGGAGACTAAAACTATTAAAAACACAAAAAGTTACAATATGCTTTAAAAGCTGATTTAAAATAGCCATGTGCAACATTTCAAAGTTGAAACTTAAATATTTTGCATACCCAATACACACACAGAGAATATTAAAAATGTAGGGACAGTGGTTCTCAACCTGTGGTCTGCAGACCCCTGGGGGCTGTGATGTCATCACAGGGGCTTGCGAAGGCTTGAAGAAATGTTATGATTTAAATTTTGAGTTAAGTCTTACTGGTCTGTGGCCAGGGTCCATGGCCACAAAGGGTTATTTAAAGGGGGTCTGTGGTGAAGAAAAGGTTGAGAACCACTGTAGAGAGAGAATTCGGTGGTAAAGATTTAATAAGCACCTGAAAAGCATCAACAGCAGGCATTTCCCAAATACTGGGCAGATGGGTGACATAGTTAATGTGAGTGTGTCTCAGTCATGGAGCATTCTTCATTTGTGCCACAAGCTCATAAGCATCAAGTAATGGCTTAATAATTAAATTATATAGAAGTCTTGAACACTAGCCAAGCTGTTTCCATCTGCAATATGCTCCTAGATGTTTAACTTAGAATGAAAGCAGTATGCAGTGTGAAGTGATCCTGAACAGATTTTAAAGGTGTCGTGGTATTTTATTGTCTTTTGAAACAGAGCCAGTTAATGTTCGACTGACTGTTCAGTAACTTATGACCTCAGTGCCTGCATGCTCTTTGCCTAAAAGACTATTAAACTGGCATCATTCCCTTTTGCTTTTCTTCACTACCACATAGATACACAGACGACATGTTCTTTTAACTCTCCTCACTCGGTTGAGTTAGCTAGGTGTGTTTCCTATCAGGTTTCCATCTCCTTTCTGTTATAGTTACAGCTTCGTTCATCATTGCTCAGGTCAGATTCCTGCTTTCAGGAACACTCACACAGAGAAAAAGATTGCCCCAACCTCCAACAATTATCAGAAAACCAATTCTACTTTTCCGTTCAACTATAGTATACACTACTGGAAAAACCTATCTAAAACCAAACATTGGGAACCGAGTCAAAATTGATCTTCCTAGTATATTATTTGCTTTAAAATGGAAAAAAAAATCATAGAAAATACTGTACTGTATATCGTGCATATTGTAATTTGATGCTTAACAAAACAAAAACAAAAACTCAGAGGTATAATCTTGATAGTGAGAGAAAAGGAAAAGCTGACATTCAACCAACTGAAAGGCTTGTTCCTAACAGCTTGAAATAAAATGCTAGATTACAATGCCCTCTAGAGCTTACTACTGATTTTCTTTCCTCAACAAAAAACTTACAACTTGTTATTTGTGAGGAAAACAAAATCTAAGAGGAGTGGGACTATGTTAGCAAAATAGAAACATAGGGTTGTGCTAATATGTGCTAGTTCTGGCAACTTTGAAGTGCCTGGTTCTCAGCAAGCTTTATCAAAATTTCTATGGTAACATAACTGATATGTTTCTTTCTATTAAGAAAATAATTCTTTAGTTTTTGTGGAATCAAATGCAGGACCCAAAACCTAATAATCAAGGTTCACTGCAGTATTTATTTATTCAACAGTGCACACTGTTAAATAAATGGAGTAATTCCCTCAATAATGAGGGGGACTCCTACAGATAAAAGAATACACTCATATTTCAGGAAAGGAGAAAATGATACAGTCATACAAATGCATAATCAATGATGTATTCATAATTACCAAACCTAAAGTTACTTTCCTGCCCTTCTACTGTTACTGTCTTCAAGAAGAGTTGTCTTAATAGAATAGGACAACTCTTATTGAAATATCTCTTGAGATATGTAAATCAGATAGGTTGCCAGTCATTTTCATAAAACTTACTGTCAACCTGATACTTCAGTTTCTATTTTGCTAACATGTTTCCATTCCTCTAAGAATTTGTTTTTGTCACATATATGTCTCCAGCTCTTCCCCTAAATTGTATTATGGAATGAAATAACTATTTTTTATTTTTTTTATGCCGCCATCTCACTGATATAGCAACTCTGGGCAGCTACATATTAGTTCTCATGGAGTTCAATCCATAACTAAATAAATGTGTAATGCTGTAACTTACTTGATCTTTAAGAGATTTTATCATCATTATAATGACAGTATAACAAACACAACAGATGCAGCTATCTGGACAGCTGAAGAGGATTTTCCCATGGCTTTGGAAGAGAAGATGTGGTAATCTGTTGGGAAATTGTCTTACTTGGAACATAATTCCTTACTGGTTACTGTTAACAGAGATGACCTCACTGATCTTAACAGTTTCTTCATGGAAGCAGAATAACAGAGTAAGAGTTGGAAGTGACTTTAGAGGTCTTCTAGTCCAATCCCCTGCTGAGGCAGGAAACCCTAATACCATTTCAGACAAATGATTGTCTGATCTCTTCTTGTTGGAGCACCCATAACTTCATCAAAAGCTCTTCATTGGAATCTGTAAGAGTGTCTCCATTAATCAAGAACTTTTCTGAAATCCAGGCCATTGGGATCTTGAATATGACTGACAAAAAAAATTGTTTGACTAACAAAAGCTTAAAATTCTAGGGAGCCATTACAGCTTTGAGCATTTCTTTAAAAGTATTGCTCTTGCAGTCATTTTCACCCATGTGATGCTGATGTAAACCAACTCCACTATTTTGCAGGATTTCTCAAATGTTAGTCTGCCAAAACGGATGTTGGGTTCCCTTCTCTCATTGCCAGCATCCGGTTCTGTTTTGCAACTTCCTTATTATGTTTCCTCTTTCACAGTATTTCATCAATGAGGTTTTGAGTACTTTTTGTTAAAAATATAGTGGGTTCAGGATTAGTTCTACTTTTGATGTCAACTTTTGTTTGGGAAGTTGCAGCATTTCCTCTGTGGTTGATACTGATCTAGAAATTCCTGTGTGCTTGATACATATCTAGAAATTACCAAGCTCCCATTCATTTGTACACTACTAATTAGAGATTACAGGGCAGGTGTGCAGCGAGTTTCCACTGTGCTGTTGGCCCCATTTTTAACAATGGCAGTTTACCTGCACTAAGATGACTAAAGCTTTAACAGCCATCATGTCTATGGAGATTCTCAGTCATCCAGGTCATGGTTGTCCCAAAGGACCTATTTCTATTTCAAAAGGCAACCAGGCTTCGTTTTTCCTTGAAGATTTTTTTACTGAAGAACTGAAGAAACTTCTTGGATGAGAAGCGAAACGTCTTCAAGAAAAAAGGAAGTCCAGTTGCCTTTTGAAAAAGCACCTTTGGGATTGACAGCCATCAGATTAAAACGCAATTTACAGCTTTAACCCCAGAATGCTTTTTACAATTATGGGGTGAGGGGGGCGGGGAATTAAGATTTTAAGAATAAAATATTAAATTGTGTTAATTGGAAAGATTTGTTAGCGATTTGTATTAATCTGTGACCGGATCAATGCTTCGTTTTGCAAAAGATATGTTTTATGTTTATGTTTTTTTAAAAAATAATAAAAAAAGTTAAAAAAAAAGATTTTAAGAATAATGCTTTTTTCAAAAGTGCCTTTTTCTGACACCCGTTCCTGTTTGACAGTTTAAGTGCTCCTCTCAAAACTGCTTCATGCAACTAAAACACCTGGCCTACAACACCAAGCAAAGCAAAACAGGACCGTCACCCCGCCAAAATTAAAGCAACTTTTTCACCCATCGCCAGCTAGCGGAACAAACAATTCGCGGTTTGCAGAAGCGCATGCGCAGAGCGCTCCCAAGCCTCCGCACAAGCGAGCGTGAAAGCAGGAAGGCGGCGGCCACCGGAACCCCAGCGCACGAGCTCGGCTACAGAGGAGCAGGGTACGTGCACCGCCGCGCGTGTCCGCGGAAATGTCCACCGCCTACGTCCTCCAATTGGCGCATGCGCAATGGGTTTCGCTTATGTTCTCCCGGTCTCAAATCTAAACTCACGTGGACGTAGAGCGAGGCTTGCGCTTCCGGAGGGCGGTGCTGGGAATGGGTAGCTTTGGGCTTTCGCAGCGGCGCAATTTGACGAAACCTTGCGGGAAACCCTGCCCGCAGTTTCTCTAGCAGAGCCTCCATGATACTCTTGCCGCCTCCACCCCTGGCAGCTGCAGCTCTGGCATCGTCCGGGATGGGAGAGAAAATAAGACCCGCCTCTTCGGGGGAGAGGCTTCGGCTCCGTTGGGGTCCACGCGTGTTTCTTCTGAACAAGAGTTCTTCACCGCTTCTCTTCTAAAGCCCTAGCAGGATAGGTCGTCCTCGATTTACAACAGTTCGTTTAGTGACCGTTCAAAGTTACAGTGGCACTGAAAAAAATGTGATTTATGCCCGGTTTTCACCCTTAGGACCTTTGCAGCATTCCCCGTGATCAAAATCCAGCCGCTTGGCAACCTTGCTGTGTCCCAAGGTCATATGATCACTATTTGGCGACGAGCGAAGTCAATGGGGAAGCTAGATTCGCTTAACAACCAGGTTACTAACTTATCAATGCAGTGATTCACTTAACAATTGTGGCAAGAAAAGTTGTAAAATGGGGCAAAACTCACTTAACAAATTTCTCAGCAACATAAATTCTGGGCGCAGTTGTGATTGTAAACTGTAGTACCACTTAACCAATAAAGCACTGTGGTGCTTGTGTTGATCCCTTGGGGAGGAAACCCCCTCTAAATTCATAATCTAATTTCTTTATTGACATGAAAGTATTTTTCTTTTTAATGTTCAGAACTTAGGCACGATATTATAAAAAACGGGATTTGGAGGTGGGGGGGGAAAGGGGATTAAATAACACCCCTGGCAAGATATTTGCAACCTGTGTGATTTGCAGACCAGTTTTCTTTGTTAGGTGGAGTTGAAACTCCTTGTGTCAGGAGGTGTCTGTCACTGGTGCCCATTTGCGTTTCAGATTAGAGGGAACAATCATTTGTTGCTCTTTGAAGGCAAGAGTAAACTGAGCTCAGAGACTTCACGTTTCTCACTCACAGGAACTCAGTAAATTGACCATGGAACAGAAGATAGAAAACAGTGGTAGTATAAAATAAAAGTTTGAAAAATTGCAGCCATGATTTTTAATTCATGCATATGTCAAAGTGGGTGAATATAAGATGTTTGCCTTATTTATTTATTAAATTTGCGGCTGCCCATCTCACCACAAGGTCACTTTTACAGTAATGCAGGAATATGAAACTTGCGGCCCGCAGGCCGGCTATGTTACACCACACCAACACCCAGTTCAACGAAGGGGGAAAAAGTCACGATAGGTCATGTGATGACACCGTGATGACACAGGTTTGACACCCCTGCAGTAATGCATTGAATTGGATTAAGTTTTCTTGGTATTAAGAGTGTCTTGTTATTCTCTGGTGGCAAAAAAAAATCAGGTCTGGTAGCACTTTTTTCCATTAACATTTTATTAAAAGGCATCTGTGCATCTGATGAAGTAAGCTATAACTGGTGAAAACTTGCACCTTTTCATAAAATATACAAGTAAGAAACTGTGATACCAGACTTGGATGTTTTGGTATAAAGACGTGAGCTCTTGAATCAAATTTACAGTTACACCACCCAGACACTAGATGTCGACTGATAACCTGATACCATCTGAAGGAAGTATATTACTTCTGGTTGATAGATCTGTCACCAAATTAGAATATTTACTCTAAGAGCTTTTGTCAACCATAAGGTAAAAGGGAAAAAAAAACCAGGTGGAGAGCAAAAATGCAGCAGGGTATGCTGTTACATGTTTCAAATGTGTGGCTGCTACGGTAGTTTAATATGCTTCATTGTGTTATAAAATGAAAGACTGAAAAACATTCCTGGGTCAGCCAGATGCAGATTTATTGCGCAAGGTTCAGAGGCAGTTTGGTTCTTGCAAGTCTGAACAAAAAAAGAGCTCTGATCTAACTGTTTTTATACATATCCAAGACAAAGGATTCGGTGAGCTCATGCATTGGTGAGCTCATGCATTTTCCATATATGGTTAACATACATTTGATAATTTGTACTTCCTAATTACTAAACCATTACTTTCTAGTTTATAAGATTATTTTAGCTACACAACTTTTCCTTAAGTGCTATAGTTGCTAATGAGAGATTTATTGCTGTCCTTGGGTAATAAGAGGTAGAGTAACTCTTTGTTTCCTATGCATGTCTTTGTGTCTTGGACAGTGAGGCCCCTCAGAGGTTTTCCATATGGCTGTCCTTCTGCGACAGCTAGGCCTCATCAGAAGATATATTACCAATAATGGGACTTAGCTGATTTTTTAATATAATCTCCAAGCACTTTTCTCCCTTATAATAATGTGAATAGAGAGTGTCTTTTAACTGACCCTTTCTCCCTTATAATAAAGTGAATAAAGAGTGTCCTTTAGGGTTCATGTAACTGACTCTGTATGATTCCTACTTTATTCACTTTATTCCCATTCACTTTATTCACCTTATTATTTTATTCACTTTAATTGTAAACCAGACACAGAATTGCAATTTACTTTCCACATTATGATCTCCAACTTAATGTATATTGCTCATTTTTCCAAGCACATTATAACTTTCTTAGCTGCTATGGGTGTCCCTTTCACATTCATTACACATAATTTTAGGATCCCTGTCCTGGCTTAAATATGTTCTATTTTTACTTATTGCAGGCTAAATTAAGGTAAGGAGGATTATCTTGGTTTCACCTCTGGCAGGAAAGCAATCAACAATCACTCTTCTTAAAATAAGCTAGGACAAGTTTAAATGATGCTTAGAGATGTCTGTCTCACCATCACTGAAGTTGGTGGATTAAGAACAGGAGTTGAGGGAATTTAGTGAAGTCTCTGAGATGCCTCTGCTTGCAACAACCTTTCTGTCTCTTACCTGCTGGGCTATTTCTGAACCAGGGATGTAGCGTTCTTTAGAAAGTGTGCTAAAGATAAGAGGCTTATTTCTAGTTGTTCATAAATTATTTAATAGTTTAACAGACTGAAGCTTCAAAGGAAACTAATATGTTGATTTTAAAGTTTGGTCCCTGAACTTAAAAGGGCAAGTATGAATATATAAACAAATCTACTCCTTCATTGGGTCCAAGGTTTGCCTACAGATGCTTGAAACTGCTTGTCTGATTTCCCCATCTCTACATAAAGGGGCCATTGCTACTGGGATAAGAGGAAACACTATTTCAGAAGTGAAACAGCTAAGCACAATTTTAAGCAGCCTCAGAAACTGGCTGGGAATGGCCCAAAGGGAATGTAAACCTGGTAGAAAAGAGAGATATATCTGACATGTTTATGTCACAGGTACAGGAAGTACTGTAAGGAAGAACCACATATCCATGTAATGTTCTAATTGCTGTCTTGATATAAACATAAAAATGTTTAGGTAAGTCTGCAGAAGAGGTTAGCAAACGTCAAGATGACGATTGCTGCCAGGAAATGGAAACCTCATCTGTTCTTTTAGATACAGGCTTTGATTGCAAGGTCATGACCATCTTGATATTTTTCACACCCTCGTTCCCAGGCCCCTGCAAAGGGCCCTAGCTCTAATGTTCTCTGTAATAGAGCTGTGCAGAGCTTTGAATTCTATTCCAATTCTGCAGCTTTTTAAAGCAGCTCTGTCTCTTCCTAGGATTCCATAGCTGTTCCCAAGAAAGGATGAGGCTGCTTTAAAGCAAGGCAGATAAGTCTTACGTTAATGTTCCAGAGCACCTTTTATGAAGTACATCTGAAGCACCGCCATAAGTGCTGAGATGCCAATAACCTTTTACAGTATTGTAGAACTGAATCTACAGCTCAAAGCTAGAGGGAACTTTTGATGAATTAGCATTCCATTGTTCTCAGTACTCATGAAAGGCCCACAATATTCTCATTCTCAAGGGTGCCTTCTGCATAAAACTAAAATGAGGAAAAAATATGGCTTGCATGTAAATCACATCCTGCCCAATGGCTTCCATAACCACATTGAGAGCAGATGTCATTCCGTTAGAGAGAATAGGAAGTGTATATGACCTTTGAGAAAAATCTTGGGGTTTTTTTAGGATGTAAACTTGTCATATATTTGAAAATAAGGGAGTTTCTGTAAGATGACATCTGATTTGACACATAGGAGTGATTAATTGCTGACACATTGAAATCATGCAAATGTAGGGATGCCTGGAGATTACTTCTCTTTTTTCTGGACCAGGGTTATAAAAGAGGATGCTGCACCCACAGGAGCAGCGAGTCAGACTATTCTTACACAGTACGTAGCGCATACAGAGGATTTCTATCCTGTTTCTTCGGGTAAGTTTCAAAATCAATATCAATTTGTAAGAGAAGGTAACTGGTGAAGGCTACAGTGATGTACAAGTGGACCTGTGTGATGAATGGGAGCAGCACCAGATGTTTTTCTTGGATTGGAGGAGGGAGTCTAATTTTAGGGGAGGGTTGGATTTAATTTAATATTAAGCCTGCTGTAGTGTAGTGTGACCTAGGTAATTTTAGTTCAGCCATGTCTCATCCCAACCTACCTTATAAAATTGTAGAAATCCAAAGAGAGGCATGCTACTTGACTTCCCATATGAAAGGTGGCATACTCTGTAAAATCGTCAGTATCCTATTTTTTGTTTGCCTACCTTAGACTGCAGCTTGTGATCTGTGTTGAACCGCCAGCTACTTAAGAGAATAGGATCACAAATTATAAAAATCAGATCAGGCCTGCACAGGAAATGTGAACACCATTTATACTCACTTCGGGCTTAGCTCCTCACGTTGCTGTGCAAATCCATGCTAACTACTGCAGTTTGAGAAACTCTGGCCTAAACACATTTAAAGTGTAGTGATTAAAAATAAGTGATATTGTAGATTTATTTCCCACCAGGCTGCAACCCTTATAAAAACAGTTTTATTCGTGGGAGAATTTATTTTATAATGTTAGGTGGTCACAATCCTGCAATGTTTGAGAAACCTTCACTTATGTATGTATCCATATGGTGGGAAACTGACACAATTGCTAACATTGGAAATTATTAAAACGTTATTGTGGCCTAGTGTATTGTAAGAGCCAACTTCTTTTGATTAAGTTATGGAGAAACGGGCAACGGAGCATCCGGCGCAAGGGAAAGAGGGGGCCGCTTTCCGTCTCTTCTCCCTGCTCCTCCTCCTCCCCTCGTGCCGGCCACTCCGTTTCTCCATTGCAGTGCAGCGCCCAGGATCTACTTTTGACAGCGGGATGAGGTGGGGTGATAATTTGCCTGGCTAAACTCACTCCACAGTCGCCCCTACATTGGGCTCAGCTTCGATTGTGCTGCCAACTTAATTTTTTGCCCCTCTCACTTTTGCCCGCAGACTGAACGCCCCAGTCTTGGGGGTTCCAGCACAAGCTTCCAAGAGCATCAACTCCTTGTCTCTATGGTAACCCCCCCTCCTCGTTCCTTGAAAACCTCATCTCTTAAAGAAGTCAGGTCCAGAAGGCTGAAACAGCTGCGAGACCAACGTGCAGACAAGCACCTTCCGAAACACCCTTTTGGTAAAGAGTGGAAATTTAACAACCTGTCCGCCCAGGGTCAGTTCCATGTCAAGGAATTTTTTATTACTGCAGAATGTAGTAGAAAAGCATCCTCTCTGGTAAGTAAATATTAAATAGTTCCAGAAATGTTATATGTTTAATAAGAGTACTATATTAATTTTAAAAAAATGCACTGGTTAAGATATTAAAAAGTGATTTGATGTGCTTTCTTCGTATACTGTCTATTTTGTATTTCAGATGCAAAGCATTTTTTCTGGATCTCGCTAGTAAACATTCTGCTCCCATGGGTAGAGGCCACGCCCAGCTGAAGAACCAAAGTGTAGATATTATAATATCACAGGCATACATGCTCTGGTTCCCTTCATTTTGCTGGTCTTCTCCAATTGTTCATTGTACAATTGAATACCTTCTGCCTGATGGTTCTCCCAAGAACAATTCAGCAAAAAGGAATGCAAAGCCACCTTAATTTTGAAATCAACATCATACATCATACAACCATCATACATTTCTTCTCTGAAGACTTAAGAATGGAATCAGGTCTGTCCAAGAAATTTCATTCTATTAAACAGAGCAACATTTGTGCAAGGAAAAGAAAGCCCAATACATAAATATTGGACCTTAGTTCCGTTAAGAACTTTCACATGTCTGGAATCCAATTCTATTTCAACATCATAAAGCAGATACATACGTACATGCATACATACATACATACATACATACATACATACATACATACATGGAATACATTTATATATACATATCTATATCTTATAAATATGTAGATATAAGCAGATTTTTTAATATAAAAGATGTTTATATTAAAGATTAAAGATTTTTAATACAAAGCATATGTATAGTATGCTGTGGTATAAAGGTAATCTACAAGTATACGAGGTAGCTTGGAAATTCAAATTAAAGATTTATTTCATTTTTGGAGTATTCTGCTGAGTAATAGAAGAAAAAAGTTCATTTGGAGTAAGACAAAGAAGGAAGTCCATAGCAATGTTATAAACAAAGATACTAATAATTCAGCTGATGTGGAGCACTGTAGCTGAAGAAAATGAAAATGTTCTTCTCAATCTGCAGTTCAGTGTGTCATGGTTGAGAGATGCTCAATCCTCTCGTAAAAAAAAAGAACCCTTACCAATTCAGGTGCACTTTTATTTCTGATATGATTGAAAAGTTTGATATTTCTGTAATATCTGTTTTTAGTTGAGAAATAAACAATTGAGAAATCTAGTCTTTCTTTGAAAAAAATTTGCTTTGCATTTTGCTGTAACATGAACTGGGAACAGAAATCACTTCCTCTAATTAGTAGCAGTAAAGGGATGAAACAGTTTGATTTCTGCCTCCTGAGCCTGGCATTTTGTCATAGGAAAGATTCTTGGCTGCATCTATAGTTGGGAAGATCTATAGTTTAAATTTCATTTGTACAAGTTGTTAGGAACGGATTTGTAAATATATAATTCATTCATTATGCTTTCATTTTAGCTCTTGCCCATTTTATTACATAACGCAGAGGTGAAATTTAGCAGGTTCTGACAGGTTCTGGAGAGCCAGTAGCGGAAATTTTGAATAGTTTGGAGAACTGGCAAATGCCACCACTGGCTGGCCCAGAATGGGGTGGGAATGGGAATTTTGCAGTATCCTTCCCTTGGAGTGGGGTAGAAATGGAGATTTTGCCATGCCCACCAAGCCACACCCACAGAACCGGTAGTAAAAAAAATTGGATTTCACCACTGATGTAACGTGATGGTTGATAATCATTGCTCCCAAAGTGTAGGAATGCACAGGATGGAGGTCTGTGATTTGGTGGAATTTTATCACATGGACAGATTCTCATGATCACTATTGTCTAGATCCCATCCTTTAGGATCTTGCCAAAGAGTTCGTTACACAAAGCTATCTCTACTAAAGAAATACTGCATTTTTATTTTTCTAAATTTTTATTTTAGAAAAAGCATACTATTTTAAGCAAACTTGATTTGGTAATCAGCAGACTTAATGCTTCTTAAGGCAGGCCAGTGATTCTTTCCAGCTTCTTAAATGTTTGGAACTAAAAGAAGGCGGCGGACAGCATGTTTGTTTGGAGATCTCTTATGCTGCCTCTTCCTATACAAGTTGAAGATGTTTCTCCATCCGCTCTCTCAGTTTGTATTTTTGAATCTACATTGGCAACACCAAGGATGGAATAAAAGAGGCCACATATAATTAAAGACTAAAATAGCAAAACAAATATTCATGTATTTCTTTTCAAGTCTCCTTTCTTCGTACAGTATTCTTATCAGCTCTGACCCAAATCAAACACTCTCTGAAGTAGGTAAAAAATAACAGCTCTTTTCAGTCTTGCTGAAGAACCTATAGTTTGTAATTCTATCAGTACCACCTGATTAAAACAGTGGCAACAATTTAAAGCAGTAGCTAAGCTCTTGTTTGATTCTAAACACCAGAAATGGCTGTCATCCTATCTCATCATCATCACTACTATATTAACTATAGCATTGGATTCAAAGTGTCATCTGCACTGAGGCTGAGTGAAAGCTCTACTGTTACTTCACATGTGGCTTGAGTCTTAAGAGTGTTGGAAACTGTCAGGCACATGTCCTTGTTTCAACGTATCTCCCAACCCATCCCTGGAGGGGACAGTCTGAACCATGTGTCAGGGCCTATGTTCTATGTTCCAAGGTCCCTTCCAACTCTATTATTCTATGATCTAAGAGGGATAGCTCAGACTAGATTACAAATTCTGAGTCATTCCAAACAGCTACAGATAACTCTAATAAGCCATGATTTCATTAGGACTATCAAATCTAAATGACCCAGTTCACCAGCAGATGGCAACGAAGAGTTAATGTTTCTTCCTGTTTTATACCTACTGGTAAATACTTCAGAGCTTTCTGTTCTGTTCTTTGAACACAAACAGGACCCCCCACCTTCAGACCTCCACATATTTCCCAATTCTGATCTTGGTAGCCATCACAGTAACCCAACATTCTGGCACAGATATCACATTTGTCACTCTGGTCAGATGACTCCTATCATTATATTCCTATAATGGCTTCTTGGCCTCTGCTGATCCAGTTTTTACTCCAAAACTCTTCAGGGCTCTCTTCCTTTTATCCTTTCATATTTGCCTATAAACTTTGTTCCTTCATCTCTACCTGCTTCTACTTCCTTTGTTTTTCTCCCTTGTGGCTCCATGTGCTTCAAACTGCCTTTTCCAATACACAAAGTCCTCATCTCTCGTGCTTCTTTCCAATCACTCTTCAAGCCCAGTGGCTTTTCATGGATTTCAAACTCCTTCATACTGTAGCTTACTTCCCCTAAAATTAAACCTATTACTGTATTTACCTGTGGATCACTGCTTGTAGTTCTCTCACTTTCCTCTATTGTTGCCTTGGATCAAATTTTAGAATTAAGCATTTTGAGATAGGTATATATCCTACCATACTCAGCCAAGTGCTGTGCATCAAAAAAGGAAGATCTTTACTCACCTTGCCTGAGACAGTGAGTGGGTAATCCTTCACAAACACTACGTATCGAGGAATCTTGAAATGAGCAATCTGTGATTTAAAAAAAAAAAAGCTCAGAATGTCAGAATCTGTTTTGGCTTGCCTGTTATTCCATGTGACTAAGAGACAGGTTCTTAGTAAACTTTTCTCAAAACTTCAGTGAAAGCTCAGCGGTCATGGCTGATAAGACCTTCTTACCAATATTATTGCTACAGCCCACACTTTTTCATGCATCTTACAGAGCCCCAATGCCATAAGCAAGTCTTGAATGAAATTTTACTGTTTGTTGAACATCCATTTCTCCTCCCAGGGAGGCATTCATGAGAAACCTGTCATGGACCCCCAAACCAATCTGGGACTGGTTTGGGGGTTTGCTTACTAGTAAGCCCTCAACCAAATCCTGTTGGAATAGCAGTTGATGCTTAACATCAGTTTGTGCTTGGACTGTCTGAACGACAACTGCTCAATGTAGTTGAGAGAGAATAGTTGGGACTATGCTACCTTATTCTGGAAACCAAGCAGATGCAACATGAGGGAGCAATACGAGTTGGAAAGTCTTTTGCACTGCCACTTCTGACTGCATCTTCAAAAACTACAGAAAGACTCCTCAATGAAGGAGAGACCTGTGGAGCTGCCTTTTAGTCTGTGAGGATGTTTATTTAGCCATTCCATTTCAAGATGGATATCATGAAGTTAGAGAAAGTGCAACAAAGAGCAACCAAAGTGATCAGAGAGCTTGGACACCAACCCTATGAAAATAAAAGGCAATTGTAGGAGCTATTTAACTTAGAGAGGAAATATAATTCAGGTTTATAAAATTAAGCATGGTAAGGAAACAGCCAACGGGAAGACTCTTTTGTCTCTCCCATAGGAGCAACCTAATGAAACTCACTTGGAAAACTAGTAAGAATGAATGTTTCTTTACGCAGTGTGTTATCAACTATTGGAATATGTTGCCACACAATAAATTGGCTCTAATTTAGGTAGCTTCACAAGGAGGCTAGACAAATTCCTAGGAGAGAATCTATCAATGAGTTGTGACATTTCCAGTCACAGGAATAATTGCCTCTATAGAGCAATGATGGGAGAGGAGGGGTACTTTGATATCCTATTTGTGGTCTTCTAGGATGTATCTGGTAAGGCATCATGTGAGACAAATGTTGGCTAGATGGACCCAGATTTGATCTAGCAGGGCTAGTCTGATGATCTCATACTTCTAAGAAGATGAGAATCTTTTGGCATTCTTTCTATTTCAGAGCTGCTCCAACCATCTTGCTGATATTTCTGAAGTTGACTAGCAACCTAGCAATTGCTTTCCATGGCATTGAGCATTTTCAAAACCTGGGAGGAGATAGTGAGGACTGGATTGGGAGTACAGAACACCTGTTTTGCCACTGAGTTAAGGTTCCTACCTTAACTACTGATTCCATCTGAGATTTGATCTCTCTCTTTCTTTAGTTGCAAGGGGAAGGAATAGAGGAGTAAGACAATTCAAATCCATCCCTCTGATTGTCCTTACCTTTCCTTTGCAAAATGCCTTGATTTCATCTTCCGTACATTCCTCTCCAAATTTCACTCTGATGGAAGCACAGATCTCTTCTCCAAATCGTTCATCTTTTACACCAACTACCTGAATAGATGGAGGGAGACATTGAGTTTCAGAGGACTATTGATTAGGTTTCTTTTCTTGAGATTTATCTGACTCCACTGTTTCTCTGAAGGACATATATGGTGTCTATTACAGGATGTAATTTTAGATGCTAAATATCTAAACAAGTAGCCAAGTTTGATGGCTTTTCTCACTGTCCCTCTCACCTGAACTTCTTGAATTTTAGGATGGGTGTGTAGAAATTGTTCAAGCTCTACTGGATATATGTTCTCCCCTCCTCGAATGATCATGTCTTTGCAGCGACCTACAATCTTGCAGTAGCCATACTCATCGAGGACAGCAATGTCCCTGAAATGAAATTATAGTTATTCCATGCTAATTCTGCAGATTTCCTACTTGGAAGTTTTGTATTTTCAATTTGTTATACCGTAAATATTGATTATATTGCAAATTCTCACACAGATGGGAGGCAGTGAGATCGCTGTGAATTCTAATTCAGATAAGTGAGGAATAATTTTAACCCTACAAGGCATTTATTTATTTGTTTGTTTATTTGTTTGTTTGTTTATTATCAATTTTGCCATCCATGTCATAGGAAGTGACTCTAGGTGGCATAAAACAATCAAATAAAAACAACAAACAAAATACAATCATTGTAAAAGTATAAATCAATGATTATTAACACTGAAATATATTAAAAAGCAATAGGGCACATAGAGAATGAATGTACCAATAATAGAGCCATCTTAAGATGTTATCAGTTCCCTGGGATCCCCAAGCCTGGTGACATAACCAAGTATTAAAGGATCTCTGGAGCATTAGCAGGGATAGAGCTAACATAATGTAGGGCGGGGAGAGAGCCACATGACAGGGAGTTGCAACTATATCCATTCAAATGCATCTATGGCCTTACAGGGACACTGAGATTTTACCACTTGTCTTTCCTTGTAATCCTAAGAAAAGTTCCAAAGTGATCTTTCTCCTTCCATTCATGGACTCATTTCAGATTGCTGATTTCCTGCTGCCTTTAAGAATTAAGTCAATAGTCTGGTCGTCAGCAGTTGCTTGTTACTTGCCAGTAATGGCAACAGGAAACAGTTCTATGTTTCCTGCCAGCA